GACAGCGGCCCACACACGTTTAGCGGATATCATTAATTATTGTACATTATTATTATTATTATTCAGATGTTCTAGATTAGCTTTTTATACTATCAGTCCATTTATGTAACCGGGTCTGTCAGGCCCATATTAGAGGCTCAGACCCGGATTTTCCCTATATATACTCCTTATAGGAGGCTTGTAACCAATATAACCAATACTCATTCTATACACATTTCCTTCTTCTTCATCATTTCTTCTCCACTCTTGTTCAATTTCTCCTGTTTATACAACTAGTAAACTCACCCGTGCGATGCACGGTCTGAGAACTGTCCTTCAAATTTGTTTGTGATCACTAATTCAAATTACACCATCAATTGATGAGAACATCAATCTCCATGAAATATTGATATAACTTCAAGCAATAAACAAAAAAACACTTATGATATATATTATAGTTTAAAAGAGAGCACTAAGCATTACTTAAAAGACCAAAAACATCCAACAAATACTTAGAAACCATAACATTGTAAATATACATTTCATGTAACCCTAAACATTGTTGAACACTTTTTGAATACAACATTCTGAGTCTTGTTCAGTGCTTCCTTCTTCTTCGTCAATACCCGTGTGATGCACGATTGGTGAAATTTTGCAGGTATAATTAACATTAGCCAACATTTTAATTAAAAAATGAACAAACTTGTAATTTTAATTGATTTGTTTAGAATTATACCCCATACAATAATAAAACTTGACATAAATGAAACATATGAAATACTATTTACTAATGATTACAGAGTAGTACATTATTTTTTATAGCCCGCAAAATAGTAAGTAACACACAATATAAATATCATTTGAAAACAAATTACATTCCATGGCAATTTTTATGAAACATTTCTTTGTACCTTCTGTCTAGCATTAACCCTTGTTAAAAGGGAAATTACACTAAATAGGACAAAAAAGTTTTATGTATTCCAAAATTAGACCTTAAACATGACAATATTTTTCAAGTTTGACATTAATTACGCCTATTTTGGCAATAAAAATATGACAGTCTTATTTTGGAATTCTCAAACTTATTTACTCATATTCGAAAATTTTCCCTTATTAAAATTCTTCATTCAAGTAAATTTTTGACAAAGATTTTTTTCATTTTCAAATCAAAGGTCTATATATGTTAACTGAAGGTATAAATTTTTATACTTACTAAATAATACGGTGACATTACATCTATACGAATTGCATTATTTAGACGAATTGCTGGTTGCAAGGTTATCGTGCCTAGCGAGAGGTCTCGTGTTCGAATCCCGCTAGGCACACAAGGGTGTGAAACTCAATGGATTGAGTTTCAGCTCTGATTACTCCAGGCTCCCCCAGCCCCCCTCCCCCAGACCCCCCTGGAGTAAAAAAAAAAGAAGACGAATTGCTGATGCAACCTGACAAATCAGGGGGGTGCAGATATGTGAAAATGTGTTATGTCTTTATCTATACGGATTGTATTATATATTTAGACGAATTGCTGATGTAACTGGGCAAATCGGAGGGGTGTGCAGATATGTGAAAATGTGTTATGTCTTTATCTATACGAATTGCATTATTTAGACGAATTGCTGATGTAACCTGACAAATCAGGGGGTGTGCAGATATGTGAAAATGTGTTATGTCTTTATTTATATGAATTGCATTATTTAGACGAATTATTGATGTAACCTGGCAAATCAGGGGGTGCAGATATGTGAAAATGTGTTATGTCTTTATCTATACGAATTGCATTATTTAGACGAATTGCTTATGTAACCTGGCAAATCAGGGGGGTGCAGATATGTGAAAATGTGTTATGTCTTTATCTATACGAATTGCATTATTTAGACGAATTGCTGATGTAACCTGACAAATCCAGGGGTGTGAAGATATGTGAAAATGTGTTATGTCTCGTTAGAATAAGATGTGTCCCGTTACACACCCCCATTGAATGATCGATATTTCGCAAAAGCATCACCGAGGTCTCTACCTTAACCGTTAACTCATTATTCAGTACACCAGACAATTTTATACTATTCAAGAACTCAGGTGTGTGCAGTCCCGCCATTAGATCGGTCGTAGAATCTACATTAGAAACACTGTCAGAACTAAGATATGTTTTAATTTTGAAACCTCACCAACATTAAGAGCCATCATATAGTCATCAACAACCTCAACCACAGCCAGTGTCGGTACCAAAATGGCACGGTCGCGCAATCAACACATGTCACCTGCAGATTAAACATATTCCAGAAATATGCTTTCAACCATCGCAACTATATGATCTCCATCTGTGCGTATCAATAGATCTTCAGGAATAATAATACGAATATGACCATCATTCGATCTAATTCACTGTGCTCACCTCCAAATTCCACCAATAGGAATTCATCTCTTTAAACAGGACTGCAACTTTACTGTGCCACCTCTATCTTCACCAATAGACATTGTTTCATTGAAATAGTGGTTGAATCGGCCAACTTTTAAACACTTCACCAAGCATTTCTTTTTAATTTCTTTTTTAAGTTTTTGAAGAATAGACAAATGATTCATGGATGTTGACGTTTTTCAGCGGGAGTACTGTTCCAAAACATGTCTTGCTTCAATATATTAATAGATATCCAAGTATGATCCGGTCTGGTTTGTTTAAGTTTGGTCTGAGACTGAAATAAGTCGTCTAAGCATAAACATATGAAGTAATATGGTGACTATGCATTTATATGAATTGCATTTTTTACACGAATTGCCCTGGTGAATTGGCAAATCAGGGGGTGCAAATATGTGAAAGTGTGTTATGACATTATTAAACAATACTTAAATATGAATTTGTGAGAAAATGTTAGTTGAGTCCGTATATGAAAAGTAATGCCATCATTTAAGCACAATAACTTCATTAAAGCACAATTAAATAAAACGTATGTTTGCACCACATGAAGCCATGAAGGTTGCATTTATGAAGATTCTAACGCATGTCTATATGTTGAAATGTGCAGGGATATTTGATGCTTCCATCTATTTTGTTTATGTGAATGTGTAATATTTGTTTTTGTATTATTTTGAGTTTCAATTGAAAGTGTTGTAATAATTAGATATAGGATAGATTTAGGACATGCCCAACTCCATGCCAGACCCGGCCGGGTACGCTCCTCTAGCTACACATTACGTCCTTTTGAATTTTTTCCCATGTCGTTACACTCTTATATGCATATTTACACGAAAACGTTTTTTATCAAAAAATATCAACTTTTAATTTTTCAAATACAATTTTTTCCCAAATACTATCAACTTTTTGCTACTAAATATTACTCTAAAATCACTTAATATTTTTTTAAAAAATAGAAGTAATCTCAAACATTCCCTAAATGACTTAAATTTATTCCCAACTTGAAGGTTTTAGTGAGTGTTTGCAAGCGCTTAAAACAGCATTTGCCAGTTTTTGGCTTAAATCCCTAAAAAGAGTGCTTTTTAAGTAACAAATTCTGCTTAAATAAAACACCAAAAAGTTAAATGCTAGCATATGTTTTTTTTACTTTTTCTATTACATAAAAAGTATATATTTTATCAAACATTATCAACTTTGTACATTTCAAAATCATTTTTTTCTCAAACACTATCAACTTTTATATTAATCACTTTTTCTAAAAACTTTTTATAAAATGCTTTTTTAAAGCAAAAGCTTTTATAAACACTACCAATGTCAAGCTTTTAAAACAAAAGCTTCATAAAAGCTTGTATAAACACCGCCGCCTGACTCAAAAACTGAGCAATGAAAACTCTTGTCCAGCCACTTGACCCGACCAACACAATCTGTCCATTCAAAATAAAAATCTTGTTCCAGGATGACTATTTTAGCTATTTTTATAATAATATATTTTAAATATAATTTTCTATTATTTAGCAGACTCAACGCATGCAACAATCTTAATCATAGCTTTATAAATATTAGCAGAATAAGAGTCTGTTTGGTGACACTTTTTTCGGCTTATCAGGCTTATCACCTAATTTTTTCATCAAACACAAAATTTTTGTTTTCAGACGCTGAAATTTGAAAAAATAAATAAAAAGGTATAGTTGAAGTTACTTTTCTAGCTGTAATGGCTGAAGTATGGAAAAAAATCATTTCGGCTGGCTAGTTTTCATATATTTTTTATTTGGTTTATCAATTACAAATATTCTTTAAATATAATATTTAAATAAATCAGCAAAACCAATCAATACAGTCACTTCATCCAGAACTTCATCCATTTCAACAGAATTAGTCAATTCGACAAATTTTAGTGTTACCATACTACATCTAATTTGAGTGTTGAACTCAAAGTATCTCAATAATGAAAAAACTAAGCGATATCAGACTAAAGGTAAATTTCAGTGGTGTTAAAAAACTTTACCTACTCTCTCCCGTTCCATTTCCCTTTCTCACTCTCTTTTCGTGATCGTTCACTTTTGCCCTCCTCCATTACAAACGTTTCAACTCCACAAACCACATTTCCTACATTCTCTTCTCCTGTCAGAAAGATTGGCGTAGTAGCACCCCATCAGACGGCACCCGTTTTCCGACTTTCTCCCCTCCAATTAACGGCGGAGTAGTTCGTCGATCAATCTGTTACTCCTCCTTTTCAATTTTAACTTTTACGGAGTATGTTAGATCTATAAGTTTGATCTGATTATATTGCATGCATCAAAGTATATGGTTGTATTTTTCGAAGGCTTTCTCATATAGATCAACGACTTTGAGAATGTTCTCGTATAGGTCTTGCTTCAATAAAAATAAATTAGCGATTTATGTAAAATTAGTCAACCTCAAAGTAACCTATATGTATTTTTTTATTAAGTTTATGACTTTATGCATTAACGATATAAAGTTTTTATTAGTAATATTTACAAAAGGAAATATGTTTGTCCGTATGAAATAAAGAAAGGTGTGTATGAACTTTTTTATTTTCGTTGTTAGGAATCCACTTCCGTTCAAAAAAAGGAATCCACTTCATCAGCCAAAAAAATTGATATTTTATGGGAACATCCATGAAGACGATTGTAGAGTACTGGAAATGAAGCACCGAGAAGCATCTAGAGTTCATCTCTTTCTCATCCCACAAAGACTTCATCTCACCTCCCTCTTGCTTTCCGAGAGCACCCATGAAGACGGCCTCTCGCTTTCCGCCGCCTTTCTCTTATATCTTCCTTTTTTCTCTTACCCTCTTCGATATGCTTCCTCAGTGTTCTCCACCTTCCCAATCACAAAGGCATCGGCAAAGCGCACACTCTCTCATGGAGTTTGTTGGAGTTAATCTTGTTGTTTATAATTTTATTATGTTTAATTTAGTTTATTCTGAGTCATTGATGCATTTTAGACTAGAGTGTTAGTGCACGGCGGGATGAGTCATGCCAAGTAGTGTGCGTCGCGTGACACCGTGCATGTGTTGTAACGGTACTAATGTGCGTATGTGCCGTTGCATTAGTGTTAGTCTAATTTGGGTCAATTAGTTAAGTTGCACATTAGGTAATTTGCATTGGTACGTATTATTTAAGTCATTTAGATTAATGTTAATTAGTTGCATGCACATATCATGTACGTACTACTACGTAGTGGGTGAGTGGCATGATGGGTTGTAACCACATACATGTACGTGGATTGTTGTGTTTATAAATGAAAATCGGTGGTGAGCTACATAGTATGAGCCACACAAAAAAAAAACAGAAAACCCATGCTTTATTATTCTTTATGCACGTACACATGCTTTGTGCTTAAGATCAAAATACTCAGCCTATTCTTCTTTCCCCGGTGATCAATCCCAACATTTGGTATCAGAGCCATGGTCGGTGAAGGTTCGCGCACTCCGTCACGCTCGCCGGTACGACGTGGGCGGAGTCCGACGCGGCGAGGCGGCCGCGAGGTGGTTGTACAGCAGCGTGTCGTCCACCAGGCCAGCAGCACCGTTGTCTACCCGACGTTGACGGCGACGAACTATTTCGAGTGGGCGCTCATCATGAAGGTGAACATGGAGGCCCAAGGCGTGTGGGACGCTGTCGAGGGTGGCGGGAGCTTTAGCGAGGATAGGGTGGCGCTAGCGGCAATTTTGCGAGCCGTGCCACCGGAGATGCTCTCCACGCTTGCCGTGAAGGCGACGGCAAAGGAGGCATGGGACGCCATCAAGACCATGCGTGTGGGCGATGAGCGTGTCCGTGAGGCCAAGGCACAAACTCTACTCAAGGAATTTGATTCCGTTCGCATGCGGAGCGGTGAGACGATCGACGACCTCACCATGCGCATGAACGGACTCGCCAACAAGATTCGCACCCTCGGTGAGACCTTCGAGGAGGTGAAGGTCGTGAAGAAACTTCTTCGGATCGTGCCGTCCAAGTACACCCAGGTAGCTATTGCAATTGAACAGCTTCTTGATCTTAAAACCATGTCCATGGAGGAGCTTGTGGGAAGACTCAAAACGGTGGAGGATAGGAGCGATGCGGACGACGGCGTCGACAACAATGACCATGGCGGTGGAGGTCAATTGCTACTCACAGAGGAGGAGTGGCGTTCTCGCTACCGCGGCGGCACCAGCAAGAAGAAGAGTACATTCGACATCCGTAAGGTACGATGCTACAACTGTCAGGAGTATGGGCATTTCTCCAAGGATTGCACGGCACCAAGGAAGGAGCAGGCACATCTCGCCTTCGCGACCGCCGACTACGAGCCGGCACTGCTGTGATGGTCCACGAGGAGTTCTAAATAAATGACAACAAGATTAAGGGGGTGATTGTTGGAGTTAATCTTGTTGTTTATAATTTTATTATGTTTAATTTAGTTTATTCTGAGTCATTGATGCATTTTAGACTAGAGTGTTAGTGCACGGCGGGATGAGTCATGCCAAGTAGTGTGCGTCGCGTGACACCGTGCATGTGTTGTAACGGTACTAATGTGCGTATGTGCCGTTGCATTAGTGTTAGTCTAATTTGGGTCAATTAGTTAAGTTGCACATTAGGTAATTTGCATTGGTACGTATTATTTAAGTCATTTAGATTAATGTTAATTAGTTGCATGCACATATCATGTACGTACTACTACGTAGTGGGTGAGTGGCATGATGGGTTGTAACCACATACATGTACGTGGATTGTTGTGTTTATAAATGAAAATCGGTGGTGAGCTACATAGTATGAGCCACACAAAAAAAAAAACAGAAAACCCATGCTTTATTATTCTTTATGCACGTACACATGCTTTGTGCTTAAGATCAAAATACTCAGCCTATTCTTTTTAGACCTGCAAATTTGGATTGGACCAATCTTTCACCTTTTTCTGCAGCCCTACACTAAGATTTGATTCTGCATGGCAGTTCGAATGCAATGAAGATTTGATCGTTCAATCTGTGCTACCTATCATGAGGTAAGATTCTACTTTATATTATACCTACACTTTAGTTATTGATATATTCTTTGCATATATCATGAGAACGGTTTAAGACCGTGACCAAGGCGATTTAACGTTTTAGACCGGATTACACTTACAACTTTATGAACTCAGTGTACAACTGTTATCTTCAAGATACAAATGTTGAAATTTGAAAATTTCTCAATTTGTTGCTGAATGGGAACTTGGAATTTATCATCTTGTTTAGTCATGCTCTGTATGTTGTTCTTCTGAAATAGGAAGTCTGGATTTCATTGAATATGCATTATTTGAAGATTGCTTGAGTACTGCAGATCAAATTTGATTTTTCTGTACTGGTGATACTCTCATACTCATTCTCCCATGTTAACAGACACAATGAACTTATTAGTAGGACATAATATAGTATTACGAACATGCTCTAACATACACAAATATAATTATATAACATCACCGTGTAAAATAGAAGCACTCCATAGACGTTGATCATCCTTCCTTGAGCTTGAGAATACAAATTGAGACCCTTTTCAAGCAAACCCAGAACACTCCCTTCTTTAATGTAATACTACTGAAATAAAAGCACCATGAAGATATGTGTTTTAAAATAAAAGCACCATGAAGATATGTGTATGATATGTGTATATACACAAATTTCGAACTACTGAAATTTTAGTAATGGATGAGCTTGTGAGCAACTCAGTAGAATAAGGGGCTATTTATAGTTGAGTAGTGAACTACGGTATATGTTACTCCATACGTAGTATAAATTAAAATGTAAATTTTATTTATAGTACAGGAAATCTGATTGTGATCTTGTTTGTATTTTTATTTTTACAGAGCAAGTTGTTCACGGTGAGATCTTTGGAGGATCTAAATCCTTTGATAGATGACGCCACACTATTTCGAGATTGGAACCATATATTTTTGCGTGTTACTCTGTATCATTTTTTATTTTGGTCTATATACAATGAACCTCTTGTGTAGTCACCTCAATACAGAGGAAACGTATAAAGTTGTATTAAAAGTTCTGTTTATCACTGTGCTTTAAAAATTTCTGACCATGCAAATTGTATTTTAACATTATTTGAAAAGCACCATCGTCTGAAACAATCTTTACTCCAATCTTTAATGCACTGTATAAATATTTTACGGAGTATTAACTTATTTTTTCAATGGGAGAGAGTATTCATACACCGTATGCCTTATATTTTTATTTTTTCAATGGGAGAGAGTATCCATACACCGTATGCCTTGAGAGGATGATGTTGATGTTTTTGAGCGGCAAAGCACCAAGTCTAAAACATTTTGCTTTTAGATATTAATAGATATGGGTATCGATTATCCAACAATGGTGCTCTCGTTGAGAGGTTGAACACAATCAAGTAAGAAAACCTCCCCAAAATACCAAAAATTTCATACCAATCTTGAAAAAATCAACAAAAAACTGTTATGGAAAATAGAAAAAGGAGAGAAAAACTGTGATCTGGCAGGCCCGGAGCCATTCCCGCCAGGTTTTAGACGGTCTAGAGCAGCACACAGTCAAGGGACTAGATGCGACACAGAGTCCGGGGACAAGCAGCTCGCTGCTCCTCATCCTCCGGCGTGGCACCGCCTCCTACCGCCCTTACTCTTTCACCGGCCACACGTCTCTCTAGCTTCACGAGTTGTGTCCGCCATTAATGGCCGCTGGCAAGCTCCGTTCGCGTGCCGAAGCCAGCGTTGGTCGTTCATGGCTGGAAAAATCTGAGCCGCTGGGCTAGAATATCAGCGCCCGTGGATGCCATGAACTAGAGTCCGCCGCCTCTGTGTCAGTGCCTTCCGCCACGTTCCGCCTCTTTATTTCCGACGATTGTTGGAGCTCAACTTCGACTGGCCTCCATTTATGGCCGCTCAAGGCTTGGGGAGGGACATAATGCCCGCAAACATAAGACTCACGTCGCGACCGGAAGTCCCTGCCGCTTCTACGGCTGAGAGTTTGACGATTCCCGTCATTTATGGGGGCTTGGAGCTTGATAAAAGGGTGTATTTTGAAGCTCGCCCAATCTTCCGCCGGTGGCTGGCCCAAGCGGTCGTCCTTGCACTGCGCAACCCCCCTGACCATTGCCAGCTATCAGCCAGTGGGCAGCCAGCAAGCTGGTTTGTCTTGGCTTGGCGAGCGGGTCTTTCATACGGAGTATGTCTTTCTCAAGGATACTCCATATATCATTCCTTGGTTCTCAAAGGGCCACATCTGTGGAGATGCCGACAGCCTCCCATGCTCTTGGCCAGATAGATGAGGCCCCTCCATGATTTTACCGTTCAATCAAACTCCCATGTTCTTGACCCAGTCAACCATTCAACCCTAAACTCTAGTGGATAAAAGAGAAGGTGGATGCATTTGCCGAGCCTATAAAGATTAAAAAAGATAAGTACTCCGTATTCTTTAAATTTAAATACGAGTATTATTTATATTTATTTAAATCATTTGTTTTGTCGGTTAAATGTCACACTATCACGCACTTATGATCAAATGCCTAGTAGAGTGTGGTTTGAGACCCATCACTAGGATTTAAAGCCCTGACCTCTCAGGCACAAAGCCCTGACTCCTCAGGCACAAAGCCCTGTCTCCTCAGGTACAAAGCCCCGACCAAGTCGGGCATGAAGACAAAACCCCGACCAAGTCGGGTATGAAGACCGGTCTTAGTCATTCCTCGAGTGACGACCGTTGCTTACGAATGGCTCACACATCCATTCTACTAAGTATTTTATCATTACATTAACAATTCACATCTCCACTTGTTTCAAGTGACAAACTCCCGATCGGGAACATAAATCTCATGAAAATATTTTTATGTGTATGATAAATGTGTAGGTACGAAGATGACTTTACTCATTTTCACCTCGTCTCCACTCACCTCAAAGAGTGGGGACTGGGGGACTGAGGTGTCAGAGTTTCTAGATGAGCAGAAAATATCACGCAAGAGCAGGAACGAGAGCTGAGTCAGTTGAAGAGGAGCTGAGCTAGATTGATTATGCCGGAGGGGATTTACCTTCCTTGTTTCATGTTGGGGGCGCTAGGTGTACTCTTTTTCCCTTTATTAGGATTTTTCCCACTGGGTTTTTCCTAGTAAAGGTTTTTAACGAGGCACCTCCCCATAATGGACAAGGGTGGTGGTCCCCCGGCCGAAGAGGAAGAACGTTGCAGATACAGTTTGGACTACTCCCTTTCGCCTCGAGTACTCTCGACTCAGGGAGTGGGGGACTCCTGATGGATTATATGGACTCCGACCCCCCGGTATGCCAACTACTAGGCCTGGACAGCGGCCCACACACGTTTAGCGGATATCATTAATTATTGTACATTATTATTATTATTATTCAGATGTTCTAGATTAGCTTTTTATACTATCAGTCCATTTATGTAACCGGGTCTGTCAGGCCCATATTAGAGGCCCAGACCCGGATTTTCCCTATATATACTCCTTATAGGAGGCTTGTAACCAATATAACCAATACTCATTCTATACACATTTCCTTCTTCTTCATCATTTCTTCTCCACTCTTGTTCAATTTCTCCTGTTTATACAATATGGGTATCGATTATCCAACAGTCATGGATTTTGTCATGGATCCGATCTGTGATAACTGACAAATAGACGGAATAAAATAAATTCAAGCCGGAATAAGTTTCCGGTTGCGGGAACATTTTTTGTCATGGACAAAATCCGTGACAAACTGTTGTCACGGATTTTGTCATGAATTTTTCCGTGACAAATTTTTTTGGTGACGTGTGAGATATATTCGTGAGAAAATCCATGACAAACTTGTCACGGACGGAATTCGTGACAAAATCCGTGTTAACAAGTGTGAATAGCAATGTCATAAAATTTACGAAGTAATAGTTTAGACATGAAGTTCACAGGTAATACTCGCAAGAGGTTCAATTTCTTCGGAAAAGGGGGATGAAAGACGATGACCAAAATCATGTTAAGCGTTGGGGGCTTTAGGCTGAAAACATTTCAGGGGTAGTTCCGGCAACATCTCCCTTTTTAGTCCCTTTTTAGTCCACCGCAAGAAATGCTCATATTTTTGTCCAACGTGAAGTTCACAGGTAATTGTCAAGATGGATTTTGCAATGTCAGATTAACAATTGGGCATGAATGTGTGAGGCATAGGTCAATAGTTGAGTATCAATATCTGATACATCTAGATTCGAGAATACACTAATTAAAATGATAAATTTTGAGACATTAGAGCATACAATTGAGATTTGAAACTGTCACAATTATTATGAAAGCTAGTTTTATATGATTGATGTTAGATTGGTAAAGTTTGAATAATAAGATAAATATGAAAGATAAACATAAGATGAACAAACAAGAAGCCGTGTTTGCCATAGACCCGGCCATAGAGAAGAATGATACGGACATTACATTATAGTCTTCATAACATTCTAGATGGATGTTGACTTTCTAATATTAAGCTATCCGATAATTGATTTTGGGAGAAGAGAATCTTTATATTTAATCAATAAAATGTGACCCAATGCAATAGTTAATTAATTAAATAATGATAAAAGACGCCAAATTAACATTTATGACTACACATATTCCATCATCAAGACAATGTTAATCGAACTAAATAACGCACAGATCGAGCGTCCTAAAGAAAGCTTGCTAAACCATGTGGAGGCGTTAGATAATCAAGCC